AAGTCAATTCTCAAAAGCAAAGAGCGCGTAGGGGAGCTTTTCAATCTTTTGGTACTTTTCTGAAATTCTTTGGGATAATATATTGTGTCACTTTATTGTAGCTAGTATTAAAGTAATTTAAATATTGCCCAGAATACTCATTGCTCTTTGCCTATGATTATTCCTAGCATAAAGGTATTCCATATTTTATAGATGAAATGACATGAAGTTGTTCAAAAGGTGATTTCAACTAAATAAATGAGAAAGAAAACATTCCCCTTATTCTTGCATGATATTTTTTCTTGATCCTTACTCTTTTGAGTTTAGTACTCCTTTTATGTATTTACAAGGTAAAATATTTTTTATATATAGTTTTTCCTAGAAAATAATTATCACTATCTAATCATAATAAGTGGAACTAGTTATCCAAAATAAGACAAATAACGAGTCCATTACTTAAATCATCACTCAACTATCCGAAATTATCTACTGAAGTCATCTTTCTGTAACAAAAAAGTCACATAACTATGCCTATAGCACTCAGAAAGTCACTCAACTAGATTTGTCAAACTTTTGATTGTCAAATACCTATTATTACCCTCTAAATTGTCAACTTTTATCTTCTTCTTCTTTTCTTTTTTTTTTTTTTACTTTTTTTAATATTATAATTTTTTTACTTTTTAATCAACATTATGGACTTACCTATAGAACATATAAATTTTATTTATAAATAAAGAATAAAAAATTAGTTTTATAGCATATATGATGTCAGAATATAATAATATAAGTGAGTATAATTTTCAAGAATATATAAAGTATATTATAAAAATACTTTTATTTTAAATAATTATTTTTTATAGTAAGTGCACAGAACATATATTTCAAAACTTTTATTTTCTTTCATTCTCAATTGTGTAAATAAATTTTTGAGTTTTTTTATGTTAATATCAAAATATTATTACGAATAAATTGTTCTGATTAATTTTTTTTTACTATGCTCAATATTTTATTATTCCGACATTATAAATGCTTAAATACTAATTTTATTTTTAATTTATAAATAAAATTTATTTATTCTATAGGTAAGTCTATAATATAAATTAAAAAGAGAAAAAATTCTTGATACTAAGAAGTTGTTTTAAAAAAAGGTCAAAAGTGGATAATTTAGAGGGTACAATAGTATTTGGTAATCAAAAATTTGAGAAATCTAGTCGAGTGACGTTCTGAGTGCTATAGGCATAATTAAGTAACTCTGTTGTTACAAACGAAAGAAAGATAATTTCACTAGGTAATTTTGGATAGTTGAGTGGCCATTTAAGTAATGAAGTCGACAAACAACTTGTTAAAACAGGGGCGAAGCCACCTTTTAAAAAGGGTGGTCAACTGACCACCCTTCACCGAAATATTACGAAAAATTACACTGTATATATAAATAACATATTGATTTTAGATGTATAAAATACATATTGAACCCTCTTTGTTGGAATTTATTTTTTAGTTCTTTCAAGTCTGAACACCCTTAGAAATATTTCTGGCTTCGTCACCGTGCTAAAACATATATTATATTAATAATAGAGTATAAGAAATATTTGGAGTGGAGAGTAATTAGTACTAGAACATCAGTAAAGATGGTCAAACATGTATATGATTTTCCATAATGATGACTGATTCTCTACGCATTTCACATATAATGCTTTGAACCTCATGTTTTGGGGCAAACAGGAATATCAAACTATTGGAAGATTTCAACAACCTAATTCTTCAAGGTTAGAAAACAAGAATGATAGACACCAACTTTTTCTGGGCATTAGGTATGAGTCTGACTGAAATTATATCCCATTGAAATAATTGAAATCTCCTTTACAACTATGCACCCCATTACAAAAAATTAAGTGACCTACTCCATTTCCTTTTCAGTGCTTTCCCTTTATATAAGAAAATCCTCGTAGGCTTCTTCACTAAATTACCTCACAATTAAGAAAAACTAACTCTCTACCTCTCTTCCTTAAAGAACACAGTCGTTAGAAACAAGAAAACACAACCAACATGGGAAATTTTAGGGCTGGGATTTTCGTTTTGGTTTTGTTCCTATTGTGTTGTTCCAAGTTTGGCCACAGTTTATACTGTTGGAGACTCAGCAGGGTGGGCAATGGGTGTGGATTATAGCACTTGGGCAACTGGAAAAACTTTTAATGTTGGTGATTCACTTCGTAAGTTTTCTTCTCCATATTTAGACCATTTTCTTAAATTCCTTTCGTAAATCAAGAAAATATATTTGTACGTGAATTTTTTTTAAGTAAGAATGTAACTATAATACATTGAATTTTACAGTATATTCGCATAATTAAACTGTTGTAGCATGTTGTTGTTCTCATTTTTCAGGTTGTTAGCTTTTGCCTTTTGTGATAGTAGTTATCCGTAATTAATTTTTAGGTTACCCAATAATTAAACTTGTAACATTATTAGTAACAAATTAAATATTTGCAGTTTTCAACTATCCAAGTGGTCACACAGTGGATGAAGTAAGTGCTAGTGACTATCAGTCATGCACTGCTGGAAATGCCATAACGTCCGATAAGAGCGGCGCCACCACAATTTCTCTCAAGACCGCCGGGACTCATTACTTCACTTGTGGCGCAATGGGCCATTGCAGCGGCGGCATGAAGCTCGCCGTCACTGTGGCGGCAGCCGGTGGCGGTGGAGGAGGTTCCACCACACCATCATCCGGCACCACCACACCATCATCCGGCACCACCACTTCTACAGCCACCCCTACACCTGACACTACTACTACTGGCACAACTTCACATCCATCAGCATCAGAAACTTTGTCACCATTTATCCCCTTGTTAATTTCTGGGGTTGCTGCAATATTTTATTTTTTCGTTATTTCATAAGCTTGGCAAATGGCAAATGGCAAAGGATAGTTCCTTTACCATTTTCTCCCCTTTTGCTTAGTTAGTTTTCTACTGCTTTTCCTATTTGCTTTACTTTTTTGTAAGTGGTTGTGTTGATGAATGTCTTATTTTCAGCTGTGATTTAATTCTTAGCAGTTGGCATGTCATTTTCTAAAATAGTTGATGCATAACTATGATTACGATTATGAATTTTAACTATCATATGATAGCGTTCCACTATGACCATTATGTCTAAGGATTTAATTTTTCACATGAAATAACACATGTATTTATGTAAAGCAAGTGATTTATGAAGATCGATTAAACTATACTGATAATATGAAACTGTTGAACTATTGTGTATATACCTTAAATTCATATATTTAATAAGAGGTAGTATGAGTAAGACATGTGAACGGACTTTGAATATGACAATAAATGGATCATAAAAATATTGGATCAGTTTTGATGTAAGACGATGTCAAATTAAGTTGATAATGTTAAGAGTAACTAATATCTTACCATAGAACACATATACATATTAAATAGAGCACATGAAATAACACATGATTTATGTAAATCACAATATCACTAACATTGTTCAGTGGTTGGGCAAGCCTTAGTTTTGCAATGAAGAGGCTAGCCCATGACTCACTGGATCTTTTTTGCGGTTGCACAGTGTGGAGTTAGGTCCAACAAAATCTCTATGATATTTCTGGGAAATAGAACTGTCATATTTAGGCCCAAATCATAAGTTGACCGTAGGAAAATGAGCATTGACGTTTGAAGAAGAATAAATAGGCTTATATTCAGAAAATTGTTCTCGCGGGATTGTTTATTCATTTTTTATCCCCGTTTTATAAGTAGTGCAATATAATATTTTTTAAATATTTTATATACAAGGTAAATAACCTTTATTTCCTTCCACTTTTCCGTTTCTTAACCAACTCTTATTCTTCATAAAAAAACCATCATAGTTCTTCAATTCTAGAAGCTTGAAAGTTCTTGTTTGGGGGTGAAAATTGGAAGAGGGTACTTTTTAGTTCAAATACTAATTTAGTAATTTAGTTTCAAATTACAAAACTTCATTGTTAATCCTGAAGAAACTAGATCACCACAACTTATGGATCTGCCATAATAATCTCAAGTCACTAAGCGAGCTTATACCAATAATTATACATATAACTAGTAAATTTACCCGCGCTTCGCGCGGTCATGAAATATATTTTTTAAGTTTACTAAAAATTAAATATATACAAAAAATAATTTAAAGTGTGATATTGCAAATTTCTCAATATTAAAAAAAAATAGCAGAAACATCAACATAATGTGAGATAACTGGGATATAATTAAAAAAATTAATGTGACAAATATCTCAGATTTAAGTAATGTAGACAGAACTTTCAATTAGTAGTTAGTTACATATTTTGTAATTTCCAATTTTTCTTATAAGAGGAAGAAAAGAGAAGTAGGTAAAAAGAAGAAGAGAAAGAGGAAACAATTTTTTTAAAAGGAAAAAGCAGAAGAAGATGCAAATCTAAAAATTTCAACAGGTTAGGTAAAAGGGATAGATATGTTACCGCCTTATTGCAGATCATTTCTGCAGGAAGTTTCTTCTTTGCACATTTTATAACACAATAAATTAAGTTTCTCCATCATGCTTAAAATAAATGATAATAGAAGGAAACCTTTAGTACCAAATCTACGGTGACTCGTTCACAGAATATTTCTATTTGTGGTACTTTTTTCTTATTAGTATGAACCTTTATTACTAAAACGAAACCCTGAATTATATGCTAGAGGTAGAATTTTTCAGATATATTATTCTGTCATCTTAATTAAAATTTACATAATTAGCTAGCCTTCCCTGAGAGAGGTAACTTCTGTAATGAAGTTCAAGTATCAATCTTTCTCACTGAAAATACATAAACTTACGCTGCATGCTTACTCTTATGGATCATATTGGCTAGGTTGTTCATATCGAAGGGAATCTACTTTTTATCTTAGCCGATGAGTTTTTTCAACATCTACATGAGCGAAAAATTAAATTTAAGTTAAAGATATTAAAGGAATAACATAGTGAATATAATCCCAAACAAATAGGTAAAGAGAACACCCCATTCAAGCCCGAAAAGCTGAAACATACCTGATCATGAAAATAACTTTAATGTACAACCACAAAGGGAAGGCAACACCTTCTTTCAGAAAAAATAATTTGTCAAAAAAAGAGAGTTACATGGAATAAAGTGCTAACTGGATTGCGTCCGCAAATGGTGTTGTTCATCTCCGAAAGTCACGGGCTCAAGCCGTGAAAACAACCTCTTACAGAAATATTGAGTAAGGCCGCGTACATTAGACCCTTCTGGTCCAGCTCTTCCCCGGACCCCGCACATAGGAGCTTAGTGCACCAAGGCTGCCCTTTTTTCTTAAATGTCAAACACCAAAAAATACGAAAACATATCATAATGCATCAAATAAGATGCAACAGACAATAAGTCATCAGACAACCATTCTATTCCTGAAATAGTAATCTCATAGCAATAATAATTGTATTTCACTGAAGGATTAAATTAACAGCTTGGTTTAAGTAAAAAGATGCAAATAAGTCATGGCAGAAACCATAGAGTATCGATCATATTCAAGTTGGACTAAACATGCCAAATGATCAACATACTGTACACCAAACAACTTGATGTAGATGATTCCTACAGGAAAAGCACAATCTATATATACACTTAAATTTTCCAGTTGTGAAACTTACTTTCAAAATAAATGTATCACAACATTTCATCTTTCTAAAAGGATTAATGACCTAGTTTGCTAGATGATCAAAACAATAGGAGCGAGTAATTTATAAACCATAGCCTTCTTTTTCTTTCTCCAAAAGTGGGCAACAAAATATCCAAAAGATTAACCTAGTTTGCTAGATGAGCAAAACAATAGGAGCGATTAGTTTATAAACCGTTGCTTTCTTTTTCTTTCTCAGAAAGTGGGCAACAAAATTACCAAAAGATTCAGATTTATTTGCTATAAACAGAAAATCTGAGAATATAAAATATAAAGATACAGAAAACAACAAACAAACATGAAAAACCCATAAAAATCTCTAAAACAAAAATAGAAATTTACCTTGGCAGCCAAGAGAAAGAAGTAACAGAGAGATATTTAGTTGCGAAAGTGGGACATGCTAGCCCGATTAGAGTAAAATCATAAAACCTACAAAAGTAAGAAATAAAAACGAATAGAATGCAAACTAATTCTGAGCCATTACTAATTATCGTTCACATGATATGATGACCGCATAAAAATCAATCATGGTACCATATTTTACTGGAAAATGAGAGAAAGAATGTGTCGACAGAATAGTAGAAGATAGACCGTCATGTCCGTTTCCAAAATTTTAATCAGCAATAAGAGAAGTGTCACGATTCAAAATCTCACCCGTCGTGATGGCGCCTATCTCAATATTAGGCAAGCCGAAAATCTCAATAAACTACAATTTCTCTCAAGATTGAAAATATAATATTTAAATACAATACAAACACTTCTCAAAACCTGGTGTCACTGAGTACATGAGCATCTAATATGAATACAAGGCTGGAAAATATAGTCTATAATAGTCTGAGACCAAATACAGTGAACAAAGAGATAGAGAAGGAGAGACAAGGTCTGCGGAACATGACAGCTACCTCAAAATCTCCTGAAAATCAACCGAGCGAAAGGATCAATACCCGCTATGTCCGGAAATACCTAGATCTACACACGAAGTGCAGGGTGTAGTATGAGTACAACCAACTCAACAAGTAACAATAATAAATAAGGAACTGAAGATAGTAACGAGCTACACAGTTATGGTTCATTTCTAGTAATCCCAGCAAAGAATAGACATGCTATCAAATCTGGCAGTTTAATATCAAATCAATTTTAATACAGTTCCTGTTCATGTAATCCGTATATCAACAATCTTTAAGAGATTTCACAACAATGACGGATAGTAACTAAGTGCAACAACAAATGAAAATCAAGTATAACCTCTCAGGACAACAATCACTCACTGGGCTCCCATCCCTCATCACTCCCTGGGCTCCCAGCCCTCATCACTCTTTCAATGGGTACCCGTGCTCACTGGGGGTGTACAGACTCCGGAGGGGTTCCTATAGCCCAAGCGCTATAATCTGCATGGACAACTCACGTGCCATAATATAAATATATGGATCCGCACGACCAACTCACGTGCTGCACGGCCAACTCACATGCTATAGTATAATATCTGGATCCGTACGGCCAACTCACGTGCTATACGGCCAACTCACGTGCTATAGTATAATATCTGGATCCGTACGGCCAACTCACGTGCCGCACGGCCAACTCACGTGCCGCACGACCAACTCATGTGCTATAGTATAATATAAGGATCTGCACGGCCAACTCACATGCTGCACGGACAACTCACGTGCTATAGTATAATATAAGGATCTGCACGGCCAACTCACGTGCTGCACGGATAACTCACGTGCTATAGTATCAATATCTCACAATCAGGCCCTCGGCCTCACTCAGTCATAAATCTCTCCAGTCTCTCGGGCTCTCAATAATCATGAAATCAGCACAAACAATAATGATATGATGTATCAATAATAATAACAGAGACTGAGATAAAATATGCAAGTAAAAACTGAGACTGAGTACATATAACATTTAGCAGGCAATTCAATAAGTACGCGACCTCTGTGGGTCCCAACAATACTATCTCATAGCCCAAGCATGATTTTTAATATGATTTACAGTTAAATTTTATCAACACATAGAGAGCATATAGCTAATAACAAATTATTCAACTTTACAATTTTTCGGGACAGACCAAGTCACAATCTCCTCGGTGCACGCCCACACGCCCGTCACCTAGCATGTGCGTCACCTCCAAAATAATCGCATGATACTAAAATTCGGGGTTTTAAACCCTCAGCACCAGATTTAAAACTGTTACTTACTTCAAGCCGTGAAATTCTTATTCTGCAATGCCTTTTCCTCGTGAATTGGTCTCCAAACGCCTCGAATCTGGTCATAAATAATTTGTTTCAGTCAATAAAATTCATTGGAATTAATTCCATAAGAAAATAATGATTTTCCATAAAAATTCGAAAATTAGCTCAAAAATCGCCCGTGGGGCTCACGTCTCGAAACTCGACAAAAGTTATAAAATTTAGAAACCCATTCAACCACGAGTCTAACCATACCAATTTTACCAAAATCCGACCTCAACTCGACCCTCAAATCTTCAATTTAAACCAAGAGGGTTTTCAAATTTTTCCAACTCAATTCACCAATTAAATGATAAAAACAACCATGGATTCAGGTAATTTAATCAATATTGAGTTAAGAACACTTACTCGTTGTTTTCTCTGAAAATCACCCAAAAGTCGCCTCAATCCGAGCTCCAAATCGTCAAAAACTCTGCCCAGACATTTGCTCTACGCGATGCACAACATCACAGACATACGCGATCGCGGACTAGTCCACGCGATCGCGAAGCACAAAACGCGTGACTTCTACTCCGCTCCACTTACTCTACGCGAACGCGAACTTCGTCACGCGTTCGCGAGTCACAAAATTCCAGAGCTACGCGATCACATCTCGCTTCACGCGATCGTGAAGCACAAAATGCCACTGCCTCACATTAACCCTATGCAATCGCAGATATCCCCACGCGATCGTGTAGAACAAAAACCCCCACTGACTAAATAAGCCTATGCGATCGCAAACGCATTCACGCGATCGCGTAGAAGGAAAATATTATCAGATATCAGAAAATTCCAGTAGCTATTCAAGTCCAAATTTTTGATCCGTTAACTATTCAAAACTCACCTGAGCCACTCGGGACCTCGACCAAATATACCAACAAGTCCTAAAATATCATACAGACTTAGTCGAACCCTCAAATCACCTCAAACTGCGCTAAAATCATGAATTACACCCCAATTCAAGCCTAATGAACTTTGAAATTTTTAATTTCCACAAACGACTCCGGAACCTATCAAATCACGTCCGATTGACCTCAAATTTTGCACACAATTCATAAATGACATAACAAAGGTATTTCAATTTTCAGAATCGAATTTCGACCCCGATATCAAAAAGTCAACTGCCCGGTCAAACTTCTCAAAAATTAAACTTTCGGCATTTCAAGCCTAATTCCTCTACGGACTTCCAAATAATATTCTGGAAACGCTCCTAAGCCCAAAATCACCATACGGAGCTATTGGAATCATCAAAATTCAAATCCGAGGTCGTGTACACTTAGGTCCATATCCGGTCCACTTTTCTAACTTAAATTTTCAATTATGAGACTAAGTGTCTTATTTCACTCCGAGTTCCTTTCGGAACCGAACCAACTAACCCGATAAGTCATAAATCAGTTGCAAAACATAAATTAAGCAGTAAATGAGGAAACAGGGTTATAATATTCAAAACGACCGACCGGGTCGTTACAAGAAACAGACTGAATCTGTGGTCTTAATAGGAGACTCATGAATTAAAAGTGGAGGTTACATTATCCAAGGCCCCAATAGATTGTGAATCAGATTTGTGAAATAGATTTGTAACTTTTTTTAATTAAAAAATGTGAATGTTTAGCATTCATTATTTTCCATTAATTATGAAAGGGTAGTGTAGTAACGGCAATATATTCTTCGAACGACACAACTGTGCATTAAAGGGTGGTAGTTTAACAGTCATTTCTCATAACTATAGGTAAATACAATTAAATTATGGTGTAAATGCATGAATATGTTGTTTTTTTAACATGAAAAAATGAGTTAAGATGGAAAAAAATTGAGAAAAAGATAAATACCTTTCCTAGCCTATAAGAGGTGCCAAGTCCGCATTTTTTATCTCTTTTTTATATATAGATAGATATGTCAATCACCCGGCAAAAGAAAAAGAATATTCCATCAAATTAATCAAAATAGTAATTAGAGTCTTCACGAATACCATAATTAGGATTAAACCCCAAGGCTACAGAATATGTATTTAAAGAGATTTCTCCTTCTTAAAAATGGTTTTAAGAGGAGAGGAAGCAAGTGAACGTACGGGGTTGAATTGTTGACTATTTAAAAATTAGTCGACTAACACAAGTATTAGTTGATTGATCACAATGCAGAATGAAAGTAAGCAGTAAAGAAGAGTAAATAACACACAGCGATTTATACTAGTTCGGTACTGTTGTGATACTTACATCCAGTTTCCCTTGGGTCACAAGGGTTCCCTTAAGATCTTTGAAAATGTTACAACACAGATGGTTTTAACGCGTTCACCACCAACGAATAGTATCACACCTTGAGTTCTGAGTAATTGACACAACTCTCTTTTGTGTTCTAGATCTTTCTATCTTTTGAGACACTGATAACTAAAGATTACAATGTTTGAACTAAGAAATAGACGGACTTAGAATACAATGTATGTAGTTGCGCAAGTCTTCTTCTTGAAAGTATCAGCCTTCTTATAGGAGAGAAAAGAGCTGTTGAGTCTTCAATGAAATCAGAGGCACGAGATCTTTGCAAAAGGGTTTTGACCCAAGGGGTGCCTCTTCGAATCCTGCTCTTTGAAGAATCCAGATTCGATTATAACTTTCCTTGTCACAGCTTGAATTAAGGAGCCATTTACGCCTGGAGTGAGCTTAATTCTGGACACAGAATAATTGCTGGCGAGCTTCTTGATTTGAGTATCCGTGATTGGCAATCTGAGTTCCTTTGATTGAGGATGAATAAATTTGCTTCTCTTGATTGACCATTGATGCAGCAACAACATCTTCATTCGAATCCTGATTGATCATTATTTGCTATTTCGAATCCTGTAGCAATCGAATATTGCTGAGCATCTCCATTCTTTCCTTTTTGTTAGTCCTGCAAATATAACATAAGATAATATTGTCATCATTGAAACTTAAACTTAAACCTATCAATCTCCCCCTTTTTGATGATGACAATCAAGAAGGAGTAAACAATAATTTAAGATACTTCCCTTTGAAGATGGTGCTCCCCCTGAGTTGTGTTGCTCCCCCTGAGATTATGCCGTTTCCATCTCCTCCTGAATAACTGTAATTGCAGGTCCTCCTGCTGGTGTTTACTCACATTTTTTATCCTCCTTTGACATCAATAAAAAAGGAAAGAAAAGCTCACAGAATAATATAGGATAAAATATACATAAGAGCGTCCATAAGCCATGGATTTTGACTTGTAGGACTCAAACCTTGCCTTTTCACTGGGGCCATAGAAGATTAGCTTGTCCTCGGGACCAAATTCCAAGCGTTCCAT